ATTCCTTTCAGCCACAAATAATTGAGTACAATATGTTCAGGAGTGTTTTGAATGACTTTGAAAAAATTAACAAGTGGATCACCGGGTTCAACAAAAATTATATCATCACCATTTAAATTCGTAGAATTTTCAATTTTCTCTAATGATTTTCCCACATTATATGTTATTTGAAAAAAACTTATCCAATTCAACCCCGTATCATTGATAATTTTTTTCAAAGTTTCTAAACTTGTTTCAGATTTGTTTGTTTTTTTTAAATTAATAATTTTGTCCTCAAAATCGATCACTTTATTTACGATTCTTTCATATTTTTCTTTACTCATCTTCCCTATATTATTTTTGGTAACTAAATCGTACAAAGTATGATAATCATGAGTATCATTTTCCAAAGAACGAAAATCAATCTGTTGAAGTAAAAATTTGTCGTTATGCAGTGTCAATGATATAGAATTAAAACAATGAATGCATTTATTTCAACACACCATGTTTGCGGGGATAAGTTCCATCATAAAACCAATTCTGAATAAGGGTTCATAACCGAATACAATTGAATAGTGTGCATAAAAGTCTAGCCAATTCATATTTATTGAGTTGTTATTCGAATCCAATGGCCATGATAATTCTGGTGAAATCGGTAGACTTTTCCATAGTTTATTAAATGTTTGAAAAGCATCATCTGGTTTTGGTCTATGTAAGCATTGTTGATAGATTCGAATCGTCCATTCCACGGCTAACGATTTGGATTTAACAATTTTTTTATTCGTCTCCTTTTTCCTTTGATCCCATCCATTTTCCAGAATATATCGGACTTGATCATTAACTTTCTCTTTCAATTCATTTGCAAAAAAAGGAATTTTGGAATTATTTGAATCTCGAATCATTGTTCCACATGCATATTGATAAAAGTTGTCACATGGATCAGCAGAATTATTTATTAATTTTAAAACTTTTTCACTATATTTGTCACAGGTTTCACTTATGCAGAACAAGTCGTTTGCTTTTTAATGAGGGAGAGGACAAAATGAAGAATTATTCTGAAGCTACAATTTTAGCATGAAAAAATTTCTTACCACTATCATGGTCGTAAATATGATGCACAATATTGTTAAACAATAACGTTATCGACAATATTATCGATGAAAAGGCTAGAATTTTAGTGGTTGTTACTTTCATATTTAATAACTTAAACCAAATAATGTTATAATCAATGAATAGAAATGCAATTTTAAATGAAAATTTTAGAAAAAATTTATAACAAATTTATTCGAATTAATTGAATTATTATTCTGATCGAAATTGTTCAACAGTGATCGTTTTATCAACTAATAATTGTGGATACTTTAACAAATTTTGAATACGTTTCTATCCATCTAGATATGCCACATATGCGAGACGTAAACCACCATTATCAGCAATATCTTCATTTAATTTTGAATCATTTTGCCAGAGATGATATGAATGTTCACTGTATTTTCGATATTGTTCAATAAAACGTTGTATAAAAAAATAAAACAAAATGTTTTTTATTTTCGAATTTTTTTCAAATTTGTCTGTCCACCATTCTTGTAAAACGCAATTCTTATAAAAATTAATGCCAAATTAATCAAAACTATGCATAATTTCATGGCCAATCATATAACCAATTTTTGCGTAATTGACATGAAACGGAAGTTCTGCATCAAAAGATTGCAATCTTAATAAGTTTTGCTTAATTTCTTGAGATGTTGAGAAAAATTTGTCTGATTTTAATCATTTATGAAATGAAAAAGAAAGAATTTGATTAGTTGTTACTATCATATTTATTAGTTTGAAACAAATAATTTTATAATTTTTTGATTAAAATGTTTTATAAATGTGATTATTCAATACCGACATTAACAAATGAACCACTTATCCTTCACCATAAAAAACAACGTTTTTTCGGATTCATTGGCGATCCAATCGAACAATTG